GATAGAAAACCTAGAAATTTATATTTTTGGATTTTGCCCACGAATTTGGACATGGAATTAGAAATAAATTATATAGTTGAGTTCGTGAGGTTATGGGTAATAGTTATCTTCAAAAATTTTCGGAATCCGGGCGTGAGTATTAGAGTACATTTTGATTGGGTTGCATCTTAATTGACTAGTTTGGAGCGATGAACATCGGTTTGAGGTGTTAGAGAGGTTTTGGAGCCGGTTATAGAATTTCTGAGTGAGGTAAGTCTCCTGTCTAACTCTGTGAGAGGGAAACTACCCCTAGGTGTTGTAATTGATATTTGCTACTTGTTACGAGGGCTACGTACGCACGAGGTGATGAGAGTCCGTACGTAGCTATATTCATGTTATTGTCCGGGTAGACTCAGGTTCATGCCATGCTATAACTATACTATTTGATTGCCTCTTGCCTATTAGGTTCCTTATTACATGTTAAAATTTGAGCCTAGACTTGTGTAGTGCGGTATACTCGTTATTGTAGAGATCGGATGAACTTTATGACTTGCCACGGAATATTTGTACTCCTCTTAAGAATTTCCCCCGCGTTACGTGTCCTCATCGAAGGGATTTCCCCAAAGCTTTCCTAAAACTCGCATGTCCCTTCGTGAGTGGGGTCAAGGACCCGTCAAATCTTTCTTATTCTAATGGGAGTGGGCCGTTCGCGTCGGCAGGATAGATACATCTATGGTTCGTGTTGTTCGACTCTCGGCAGTGCGCACACTTTATGGAATCGGGTCGTTCGCCTCGGCAGGATTATATATCACACTTTCATGGGAGCGGGCCGTCCGCCTCGGCAATATATATATAATAGATGTATCTATGGTTATATACCAGATTATGATAGGATCGGGCCGTACGCATCGGCATTTCTGTAAAAATAATCCTTCTAGGGAATCGTGCGTATTAATTGTACAAAGGGCCAGTGTATCTGGGAGTTTTCCTGNATACAACATATTTATATTTGTTTAATTCGCGTATTTATTCTACCCCATATCTGTTTTACTTCTTACTATATTTGCCTTATTAGACCACTAGTAAGAGTCGATGTCGACCCCTCATTACTACTTCTTTGGCATTAGGCTAGATACTTACTGGATACACGTTGCTTACGTACTCATACTACACTTGCTGCACATTTTTTGTGCAGGTACATAAATGTCTAGAGGCCATGTGATAGCAGAGGCGTGTATATACGCGGGGACCTAGGCGAGCTGCATTCCATTTGTCGACCCGCAGCCAGCAGAGTCTCCTTCAGAGTATTTACATTTTTCCTGTCCAATTTGTATTCCGGACAGCAGTTGTATTTTATTTTATATTTTTAGTTAATGCTCATGCACTTGTGATACCGGATTTTGGGATGATTATGGGTTGTTCTGTATTGAATTTGTTAAAAGTATTATTATTTATTCTGTAAATCCCCATTCTTTACTATTTAAATTGAAGGAAAAATATGATTTCAAAAATTATAAAAAGTGAACCCAATTAAGTAATTATTGTTGGCTTGCCTGACAGTGGTGTACGACGTCATCACGGCCTTTATGGATTTTGGGTCGTGATATGTATGATGGAGTAAAGACCCTAGTGAGGATAGTGGGTGGGGACTCGAACATTTTTCCGGTTATGATGGGGTTGCATCAGGAGTCGGCACTCAGCCCTTTTTTGTTTGCTCTGGTGATAGATGTACTGATGCGCCACATTCAAAGGGAGGTGCCGTGATACATGCTATTAGCAGATGATATTGTATTGATTGACTATAAGTGAGACGATGTGAATGGGTAATTAGAGGTATGGAGGCAGACCCTAGAATCTAAAGGTTTCAAGTTGAGCAGGACCAAGACAGAATACTTGGAGTATAAGTTAGTGGCGAGACTCAAGGAGGGGAAGATGAGGTGAGGCTGGACTCGCAGGTCATCCCTAGGAGAGGGAGTTTTAAGTACCTTGGGTCTATTATTCGGGGGGATGGGGAGATTGATGAAGATGTCACACATCGTATTGGGGCAGGATGGATGAAATGGAGACTCGCTTCCGGTGTTTTGTGTGACAAGAAGGTGCCACCGAAACTTAAGGGTAAGTTCTATAGAGTGGTGGTCAGACCAACGATGTAGTATGGGGCTGAGTGTTGGCCAGTCAAGATCGCTCATGTCCAGAAGATAAAGGTAGCATAGATGAGGATGTTGAGATGGATGTGCGGGCACACCAGGTTAGATAGGATTAGAAATAAGGTTATTCGTGATAAGATGGATGTGGCCCCTATTGAGGACAAGACGCGAGAAGCGCGGCTTAGGTGGTTTGGTCATGTGAGGAGGAGGAGGAGCACAGACGCTCCGGTGAGGAGGTGTGATAGGTTGACATTGGAGGGCCTACGGAGAGGTAGAGATAGGCCAAAGAACAGGTGGGGAGAGGTGATTAGTCAAGATATGGCACGACTTCAGCTGACCGAAGACATGACCCTTGATAGGAAGGTATGGAGGTCGAGGATTAGGGTAGTAGAGTAGGTAGTCTAGAGTGTTCATAACAGTAGTATTAGCACGCAGTCTCGCTTTCTCTTGGTAGTAGGTTTTTATGACTAACCATTATTTTCTTTTATTGTTGATCACCTTACTGTCTTGTTGTTTTTATTCTACTTTTATATGGCTTTTTGGTACTGTCCCTTCTTATCTATATTTTCATTAATGTGGTGTTTATGTTTTCCTCAGCCTAGGGTCTATTGAAAATAACCTTTCTATCTTCACAAAGTAGGGGTAAGGTCTGCGTACACACTATTCTCCCCAGACCTCACACTGTGGAATAATACTAGGTATGTTGTAGTTGTTGTAGTATGTTAGTTTCCTATATTTTTCTACCAAAATTATACAGTGTTTTATTTGAACTATCATCTTTTTAAAGTTATTTTTGAATTATAACAGAATTAAATATTAAAATTTTATAAGTAATCAAGATATATTCAATAATTATTCATATAAAAAATACGACAAACTTAATAGTAAATAATATTGAATTTATTTTATTCGTAACGATCTGTTTGTTAACTGTCATATTTTGCCTAAATTTTCCGGCAGCGTCTCTTTTGTAACGTTAACTGCTTATTTTATGATTCATATCTAATACTCCCTCCGTTCCAATTTATGTGAACCAGTTTGATTGAGAATGGAGTTTACGAAAAAATGAAGACTTTTGAAATTTGTGGTCATAAACATGTTAGAAAGGGGTCCAGAGTATTTGTGTGGTTATAAAAGCTTCTCATTATGGGTAGAATTGGAAGTTTAAGCTAAATTGTTTCCAAATTTAGAAAAGGGGTCATTCTTTTTGGAACAGACCAAAAAGGAAATAGGTTCCCATAAACTGGAACGGAGGGAGTATTTGATAATTATCTACTAATACATTAAATCCATAATTGAGAACTCTATCCGAGTTTGTTAAGGAGAGCACGTAGTTTTTATTCTACAATACGGAATCTTAAAGAGCACTAAAGTAACACTACTCTAAATGGCCATAAACAAAGTCAACTACCATAAGCTAAAATTTATTATTAGTTTTACTATGCTAAAGGGCACTACATAACAATTAAGGGCACAACATAACACTAAAGGGCACTAAACAACAATAAAGTCACATATTAATATACGTACAACAATAAAATCACATATAACAATAATTATTCGTAAAAATTAGTATATATATATATATATATATATATATATATATATATACATACTAATTTTTTAGCACATAAATAAACTAATCCGGATAAAAAAATAAAAAAATTAATTAAATCACAAAACGATCACAAAAATCATACAACACAGTAAAAAACAACTAATAAGCATTTTATATACATGAGTTTTACCAAAAAGTAAGTCGGAATACCTCGATTTNGTCGTTAAGGTATAGCGCATTGAACACATTCATTATATATAAATTGGTAATCAATTGTTTTTTTCACCTATTTTTGTACTTTGAATCCGAAAAAGTAATATTTTGGTTCCGGACCCAAAATATCAGCACACTCACCTACTAGCGACTACGACCTCAGAATAATCAAGGAAAAGAGACAGTTCGATTAGTCCAAGGAAACAACCTTGTCACATGTATATCGGTTGTTTGGTAGGCAATTGCTTTTGCTTTCGTACGGTGTAATATTTTTACAAATATAAACTAAATACTACTATATGTTCATTACCAGTATGTATAACTTAAACCCGCTTTGATTTATTGAGCAACTTAGATGGCTTTTGATTAGAAGCCTATCGATTTTAGAACAAGCGAAAAACAACACAATAAACATTTCTACCATTACAATAACAATTGCGCTTTAATTCCAAAGAAGCAGCTGTATGAAACATTGCTGTCCAAGATACTCAAGCCAAACACATCTAAGTCTAGCTATGTACTGTGATGATTTATCTTAAACTGACTAGCGTTACACTGACCGTTAATTTTACCATAACTCTAGTATCTTTTATCCAAGTTTGAAATCAGCAGTGTGATCAATTTAACACTGAGATAATCACAATTTCACACCGACATAATCACAAATATTTCCACGGTTTGTAGGAATTTTATTGGATTGTTGCACGTGATCATTGAGGCAATAAATAACTGGATACTTTGTTTTCGATAGCTCTTTACTCACCACTCATTTTCTTCTAGGTGAACCAACTCGGCCACTTGGTTAACAGGATTTGATAGGCTCTTGAATTATAGTCATGTAAAGAAAACAACCTTTTGTCCTTAGCTCCCTTTTCCATCAACACTCTCTTTCAACTCAGATTAAGCTTGACATTGCCAGCCCACGAGGGTGATTTGTTATTTTGGTTCTCTGAACTTAACTCAGCCGGTTTATTTTTAAACAGGAAATTTTTCTATACGTTTAGTATTATTTAGGCCAACCCAGTTTTAAAACAATTGAAAAGAATTGATGAAACAATTGAAAGCCTAAGCGAATGTTGTAAGAAATTTCATCAGTGCAGGACTTATTTGAAGCTGCAGTGCTTTTTTCTGTCTTAAATACCATGAATCAAATGCAAATTAGGTACAAGATAAGTTAAGATACTACATTCGAATTAATTTGGAAGAATAAAAATTGCAGAATGCTTTGATTTCGAAAGCCTATTAACGAAACAATGTCACGTTGTTTGAAAAAGAAGTCAACTTTGTCATCAGCTTCTTCATTGGTTCTGAAACAATTGGTGCAAACATGGCGTCTGATATGCTCACTACACCAGGATTGTGGCTGCTTAGGACTGAGTACACAGTGGCGAACTCGAACCCAGAATTCAAGCTGTAATGAAGAAGTCCTCTAGGGACAATAAACACATCACCTTCTTTAAGTGTCTTTTGGAACACTTGGCTTTTCGTGTCGAGAAATCCAGCAATTACCACTCCTTTGCCCACAAACATCATCTCAGAAGCTCTTGGATGAGCATGCGGCATTACCTGTTGAGACATAATATAATCAAGTAATTAAAAATGTGCTTTATGTAACAACTTAAGCTTTTAGATGAAATGATTCACACAATTCAAAATGGTAACCGAGCAGGTAAGAGAGGCATGTGGAGACATAATATAATTAAGTAATTAAAAGTACCACGCCATCCACTTCCAAATCGGTCCTGGCCGTTGATAACCCCAGAGTGTTGAGTCCTGCAAATTCTGCAGCAGTGACTATTGTTGTCGATGAACGCTGAAAGTTATCTGTGTCTCCTTCATTCCTCAAAACAGAACTTTTGAAATCAGAAGCAGTAATATCTGCTGGATTCTTGCATGGATAACCATTTATGAAGATGTTTTTGCGCGTAGTATCTGTAGGACAAACATCTTGGAGATTATCAGTGTCTTTTCCCCTGCAAACACACATGTAAATGGAAAATGCTACGCCAAATAAGAGAGTGACCTTCATGATCATTGTTTCTGGTTTTAATCAGGAGGATTATTATTTATTAGTGTATGTTTTGTTAACATATTTAATTGCTGAATACATATATATTTGCAAGGATGTTCCTGATTGCTTCAGTGTAAAGTAATAACCAAAACTTTGAGTTCAATTCACTAAATTCTAAGTGTCTTTTGTTGAAAGAAGCACAGTGTTTAAAGAAAGATGACAAATACTTATCTGTAAGGTTAGATGTCCCTCTCCAAAATAACAACTTGTTCATTTTAGGTAACCCTGTCTAAATCCTTACCTTTATTAGTTTTTAATCCCGAATTCAATAGCTTAATATAGCTAAGCAATATCACAGAAAATGTTCTAGTTTCTTTTATCTTATTTTCAGAATCAATTTACGGTTTAACCAAAAATAGATTTTTCGGTCAAAGTCAATATTTAGAAAAAAAAACGGATTACTGATAACCAAGATTTACTTCACTTTCCCAGCAATTTTAGGATAAATAGATCAAAGAATGAAAACAATTGATAAAGAAAAATAAGAGATGAACTGACAATCACTCCCCAAAATCACGGCTTAAAACATGAAGAATAAAGCAAAGAATAATAATATGTATTTCAGTAATAATCGTAACCTCCCCTTACAAATGGGATTTCTGCCCTTATATAAGAGCATATAATTATAACGGTTCTCACATTTAATTTGGGCTCACTAATGACATTAACTGTATTGATTGCCCGTTACCGTAGGTAACCATAACTGGCACATTTATAACTAAAGATTCCTTGCAACTGCTCTGATTCTTTCCTTATTTACTTCTGGTTCATGTATCTTCCCTTCTTTACAACCTTCATTCATTTCATTCATGTTTCTTCCTTGACAGTTGTCAGGCCCGGTTCTTTTTTCTACGTTATCCCGTGGGTGTTTCTCCCGTGCCTTTCCTGTATTCTTAATTCACCTAATTGAGAGTGTCATATGTCGCTATATCGATGTTCCATACGTCATGCCCCGTCAGCTTACTGATTGTCTGCGTGTCATGTCTTTTTTTCACTATTACAGATAGTCCCCCCACTTTCTGAATATTCTCAACTGAATATTCGTTAAGTGTTAAGTTTTTATGGCGGGAATTCCTTGTTGCCGTTTCTCGAGTATCATCATATCTCCTTCAGAATCTATGCAACGTATGTCACGTCCATTTAATGTCCATGCCACGTGACTTCTTACGATTGGATCTGCAGTTTCTCAGCACTTTTTAGGATTTTTTCTGCGGCTGCGTCAGTCACGAAGTGACGGTTCCATTATGACGCTTCATAATGACCAATTTTAACGACGGTTGTATCTTCTTATAAATACTTCATTCTTTTTGATTTTCTGAAGTCTTCCTTATTCAATATACATTACCTCAATCCTTCTTCGTATCTGTGTACCTTTTCTTCTGTATTTCCTTTGATAATCATGTCTTCGTCGACTTCAGAACCTCACAAAGTTGTGATCATTGATGAACTTGCTCCTTCCACTGCCCCTACTAGAAGTAGGAGAGGTGGTAGATTTTGTAGCCTTGGTTCATTATCTAATCATAGTTCTTTTTCTCAAAGTAGTTCTGCTAGGCCATCTTCTACTAGACCTAGGGCTCCTCTAACTCCTAGATCTTCTTCTAGAAATAGGGATCTAAATGAACCTGTGTGTGAACCTACAGTTGCAGAGATTGTTCCTCAAGAGTTTTTTTTGTAACAGACCGTGAGACCATAAGAAATCAAGTCTCTTTTATAGCTTCCCTCAACCCTGCTGAACTTTACCAGAGTTTAATCACTGCCGGTCTTCTTTCCTTATTTCGACGAGAATGTCATTGGAAACCGGATTTTCCAGTTTTAGTCCCTGGTGCCAACCAAAGAATCACCTCTTATCATGCCGGTTTCTCTTTTGTTTATACCTACCATTTTACTTTAGGGTTTAAGGCTCCTATTGATCCAGTAATCATTGAGTTTTGTTGTTACTTCAATGTGTGTCTTGGTCAAATTGGCCTCATCGTGTGGAGGGTTGTAGCATGCCTTCGTTATTTATCAGATTTGGTTTCCGTCCCTTTTACCTTTCGACACTTGCTTCATCTTTATTCCCCCAAGTTATTTCGTGAAGGAGTTTTTTCTCTCGTGGCTAGAAGTAAAAGAGTGTTAGTTAGCTCCAAGGATGACCGAGATCGTGGCTGGTATGCCCGCTTTGTTGCTGCCCCCACTAGTGGATTAGTGGGTGAAGAAAATATGCTTTTCCCAGAAAAATAGAACTTAGTACATAAGTTTTCTTCTCTTTTTTTTCCTTTTAATATGTCTCAAATTATTTCATGTAATCACATACCCATTTTTCAGCAACCATGGAAGTCTTTGATGAGATTCCTGACTTTCGTGCTTGGGTAGAAAAGATGTTAACTGCTGCTCCTATGGACAAAAGATCTTGGATATTTCTTTCTCAAAAACTCGGTTGGAAAGTGAAAAAGCGTGGTACTTTTTACCTTCATAATTCTTCTTCTTCTTCTCTTACTTGTTCATACAAAAATTTCTCCTCCCTTTTTTTATTAGGGTTTGCTATTAGTGGCATTACTCCCACGTCTATTCCATTAACAAGGCTTTCTGTGAGTCTCGCCCAGGAAAGGATTTTGAGTGGCTCTTCCTCCAAGAGGAAAACTGGCGAAGCTCGTGACCCTGATGATGAAGAGGAAGTAGAAGAAGGTTCTTTGGTGAGAAAATCACACGTCAGGAGACGCGTGGTTTATGATGATGAAACTCCTACTTCTCATGATCTTCCATCGAGTTCGATTCCTTTCAGACTCATAGATGAGCCAGAAAATGCTCCTTTAGTGATTTCTGATGAAGACGCTGCTAATCCTCCATCCAATCCTGTTGACAGGTTACTCGCCCAAGGCTTCGAGGGTGAAGAAGATTTCGGGCCTGTTTTCGAAGAGTTACCTCTCACTTCCCTTCCAGTTCCATCTAATATTATTCCCCATGTGTCTTTACCTTATGTTACTCCAGTTGTCACTCCCGTTGTTGCTTCTCATGTAGAGGCTAAGCCTTCTAGCAACAGTAGGGAGATGAAAAGAGTTGTAATTGAGATCCCTGAGGGTGGGAACTTATTCAGGAAGTCTGGTCACGCTGATGTGTGGTTGAAGCCATTGCTTGGCCCCGTGGAGAAGAAGAAGTTAGAAAGTCATAGTTCCCATGAATGACATTGTTCATTCTTCTTTAAAGGTATAAGTTTAATTACATTTCCTTCCTTCTTTTTCATCATTCGTAACTCTTCCTCCCCTACATTTTTCGTAGATTAATTTGATTGGCACAAAGCTTATGAAAAGAGTTTCCCAGACTGATTAGCAAATTATTGAATTGCGTACCGAGGCTGACAACTAGAAAGAACAATTTGAAGGTCTTCAACTGGAAAAAGAAGTTCTTGCAAAAGAGAAGAGTTCTTTGGAACAACAAATGAGAATGGTTTTCGCTGAGTTAGTGGTTGAAAAAGCTTCTTCCAGTCAAGTCGGGAAGGATAAGGATAGACTGAAATCCTCTTTTGCTGAACAACTCTCCAAGGCTACTGAAGAGACAAAGGGTTTGAAAGAACTCCTTAATCAAAAAGAGGTTTACGCGGGTGAATTGGTTCAGACACTTACCCAAGCTCAGGAAGATCTCCATACCTCTACAGACAAAATTCAGTTCTTGGAAAGTCTCTTGCCCCTTTGAAGACAGCCTATGAAGCCTCGGAAGCAGAAAAAGAAGAGCTAAGAGTTGAGATTGATCAGTGGGAGAAGGATTATGAGGCTCTCGAGGATAAGTTATCGCTGGATGTTAGTTGGGCTTTCCTGAACACTTGCCTCGAGACTTTAATTGAAGCCAGCCGGGAGGGTTTTAACATTTCTGCTGAGATTGTTAGGGCTAAAGAAGCAATTGATAAAACTCAGCAATGTCAAAGCTTTTCCTCACCTGAAGACGAAGGTTCCAAGGGTGATGGAGATGGACTTGCTTCTGGCGGAGCTGATGTCCAAGCCTCTTCTTCCCAAGTTGATCCTTCTTCTCCTGTCGATGATGCTCCTATTGATGGTGCTCCTTAGCTTTTCCCTTTCCCTTACTTCTTTGTTGGCTTTTATTTGGAACTCCCTTATGCTGTTTTTCCCTTAATTTAACAACTTTTTGGAAGATTTGTTTATGGCTGCCCCTGTTTTTTTGGGGTTTGATGACAAATTATCACCCTTATTTTTCAAGGTTAATATATAAATGTTTCGGCTTCTTTTGCCGCATATTACGCTCTTTGCCTTTTTAATATTTGAGCTTTTTCTTTCATTTAAAAATGCCTTAATAGTCCGTGACTTTGATAAACACGGGTTTTTATAAAAGAGGTCCCTTTTATGTTAACGACACTGATGAAGATGACGTCTCATCTTCATATTGGTGCAAATATACGAAACATGAAGTAGACATGAAAAAAAGAAGTAATTTGAAGAAGTTTTATGTTTTGAACTTTCAAATAGATTTCGTACATCATTCTCATAGTCGTTCATACAACACATTCATAATTGCTTGAATTTGTGCAGATTTACAAATATAAATTCGGGTCTATTATCCCGTGACTAAATTCTTGGCCTTAACCTAAAACTCGTGGGAATATGGAATATCTTGCATCCTTTTCGCGAGTTCTTTTCAAGGTTAAACTATGCGTCTTTGGTTTTTTGCTTCCTTCTATATGCATAGTCCCCTCAGTGTTGGAGCTTTGAAGTATAAAATCTCGAACACTGAATTACTCATTTCTTTTGGTCCATTCCTTGAAAAGGAAAATATGAACGGGACTCAGAGATAATTATTTAGATGATGACTGCATAACCCTTTTTTCATCAAAAATGTTGCAACCTAGACCAGGAATAACTCAGTATTCCGCGTGTCTTTCGGGTCTAATATCATTATTTGGTACGGGCCAGCTTTTTGCCTATCATCTAAAATGGTTAGTAAAATTCAAAAGAACAAAATAAAATTGAACTTGCGTGATACCTGACCGTGGGTACTTTCCTCGCCTAGAAGTAATACTTCTTCAAATGAACTGCATTC